TATCTTAAATTATAAGGACTCAAAGATAAAAAAAAATTAATATAGGGATTAAAAATATTTTATTTTTAATTATAAGGACTAAAAATTAAAGTAAATGTAACTATAAGAACAACCAAATTATTTTAACCTATATTTTTTTAGTTCCTAAACTTGTAATTTTTTAATCTTAGTCCCTATTGTTAATTTTTTTTATAATATTTTTTATTTTGTGTTAACACAGTAAATATCTTTAATTTTATTAGAGTAAAAAAAATGATAACTCAACAATGAATGTTACATGTAAAAATATTAAAAAAAAAACACAATATTCAAAAATCTAATTTAAAATAATTCAAGTAAAATAAATCTAACATCTAACACAAAATTAAATTAATATCTATATTACATCAATATGAAGGAGACAATGTTACAAAAATACAATATTGTTAAGAATTAAAAAATTACAAGTATAAATACTAAGAAATCTATTTAAAACTATGAAGGAAAATTGAAGGAAAAAAAACTATAAAAACAAAAAAATCAAGTGGAATTATAAAACCTTTTTTAAAAAAATTAACTTTGGAGTAATTGGGAGGTGTCGCTGACACTCCTTACACTCTACAATATTTAATTACCTTTTATAATTTGTGTAACACTTTTATACAAAAAAGTATATAAAAAAAATTTCCCTTAAATGATTAAAATGATAGAAGGGTCTGCACTTAGAAATGTTCTACTGCTTTTCATTTATATTTTAATAAGCTCAAAATAAATTTAAAGGCTAAGATATAGGAGAATCAAACAAATATCGATATGCAGGCAGCAACAACAAAATAGGCTAAAGAAGGCATACCGAACCAGAGAACCCAAGTTTTAACATAAAAACGTAGAGACTACATTTTTTCGACATCAAAACTAATACATCATGGACCAGTTAAATCACCTCTTGTCAGCGTTGGATGCTCGGATACAAATTAAAATATTTCCCCGAATCTCCCCAGTGGACAAGAACTGAGAAACCACCAGTGCAGGGAATGAATACCTAAAGTACACCCTAGAAAACATTACTTGTTAGTTGTTACAAAAAAATTTACAACATTTAAGTTTTTCTGATCTACATTGGGCTTCTGTTTGAACCTTCTGTAAAGGAAAAACAACCGTTAGACCAACAGCCAACAAATCCTGCAGGATTTTCTCAAATACTTTGATCAAGATGTCATGAATTTGTGAAGAACGTTAAGGTGCTTCAAGACCACAAGTGCCACTCACGCCGCTGATCAGTTCTGGAGTTGGGTGTTACACTTATTCTATCTGCATTGCTGGACAGCCATTTACTGAAATCAGGGGATGCAACAAGTTCTTCCAAGGCCTTTTCAGTGGACTCCTTTGTGAAAGCATCCCATTCAGCAGCTGAATATTTCTTTCTCTCCGGTGTGTCGTGTATGATGGACGGGTATAACGCCTCCTGTGCTTTAGATGGCGTTCTGAAACCTGATAATGTACCTGTTTAGCATATTAACCACACTTATCTCAATGCTTTTCTTTTCTCCACTGATCAATTGGGAGAAAAAAGATGTTGGAAGGTGTCACTTCAACACTAAAATAAGGATACGAGAGATGGAGCAAACCTGCTGCAGAAGATTTACAAGGGGACAAGAAGGTAGGGCTTTTCAGTTGTGGCTGAAAAAGTGGAGACTCCTCTCTATTCTGCATCTCGTACATATTTTCATCATATGAATCATCAAAAGGTAATGAATCAGGAACCTGCGATCTCCTGTTTTTCTTGGGTGATTTAAACAATCGCCTGCAAAATCCCTCCACAATAAATACAAACCAAAAATGAAAGGACATTATTGGACCAAAAGTCATAAGAGGAAAACTCTTACGATCACAAAAGTGCTATATGATAGCTTACGGGTAAAAAAAGAAACTGCAAAACTCCAAAACAATCTATAGATATATTTTACTGAAGATTAAAAACACAACTTTAGAAAGTGAAAATAGAACTTGGTACCCCTCAAATTTGTTGAAATTACACGGGTCCCCTCTAGTTTGTAAAAGACACCTCCTTCACAGTAGATGTTATGCATCCATTAAATTAAAAACTCAGAATCTGAAATTTGTCCTAAAATTTCCCAAGCATATTTGCCTCATGAGACACACAATTTCCTATCATTCATTTCACCTTAAAAACTGGTTTTGTGGAATTGAGTTAAATCTTAAGTCCAAATTCTAACATGGTATCAAACTAATCAAAGTTTATCTGTCTATTGTTGGATCACCTGCATTGCCATAGTCCAAGTTGATAGCCCTACGTGTGAGGGGAAGTGATGGAAAGCCGCCTTAATTGCAATCACTCTGAGCCCACTTAGTTGCAAACTCTTCAAGAGCTTCCTTAATTGCAGCCCCAAGGATGATGTTTAGCCCCAAATTGATTAGAGATATAGCTTAAATAGAGAACTAATACAGCTTGGAACAGCCATAACTCACAAGCTAGTTTTGTAGAATTGAATTAAGCCGAAAGTCCAAATTCTATAAACTTAATTTACCCAAACACACCCAAAGTGGTTGAATTGTCATTGACCAATTTGATATTATTTTCCTACTAACAATTGAAATCACTGACTAATAACGCTAATGTTATACTAACAAATGAATATTATATATCTCCTAAATCCTAATATATAAAATGAATTTTATATTATAAAGCCTAATCATTCTTAAGAGATTTCTCCAGATAATGTTTCATAGAATCACCAGCAAATAAGTCATGCACTAAGTACTAAAAATATTTTTCTTGCTAGTGAAAACCATTCAGCACCGATAGATAACTGAGTTCTCAACTATAATAGCTTTAAAGAGACGAGGTTCAATATGTTCAAATCACTTTAAACTTTATTAACTTCCAATATCAATCACCGTAGAAATAAATCTTCAACCATTTATGCAGAAATACATAGTTCAATCCCTCAATTGTTTTTTCAAACTGTTCAACTTAAATATATTACTGTGCATGTTACCGAGTAAAGCTACACCTTAGAAAGGATTAAGCAGAGTGGCATTGGCTTTGGCTTGCACACAAGGGTCGTGGTGCCCTTTTCCGCAAAGATTTATTGACACTCCTTCAAGCTTCTCAAATCTCTTCCTTCTTATTTTATTTTGGAAGGTGAAGAAGATAATACAGACAAAGAAGAGGGTACAGTGGTAAAAGGAAAATGGATCTGTTACTTCTAAAGTTAACTGAAGGGGTACTTACTTATGTCACATCAGGTTTAAAGTAAGGGTAGTAATGTCGTATAAGGTTTAAAAATTGTCGGGGTGCATTTGTACACGGCATAATTATCCCTTTTAAAAACACAAAAAGAACCCCACCCAACCCCCAAAATAAAAGCAGAAAAGAAAACCTTTGTTCTTTTATTTAATTAAGAACTTGAAAATAAAAATCTTCATTATTGAAAATTACAAAAGGTAAAAAATTCATGGCAGTGGACAAACCTGCGTAAACGACGAAGGAATCTCGTTATATGCATCCTCTTCAACAACGAGACAAGTGATCCACATAATAAAGCCAATGTTCCCAACAGAGGATCCATAGAACTCTGGAAACATGATACATCTTATCAAATTTACAATCATGTGCTAATCTTAAGCATCACCAAGACACCAACACAACACAAACAAGAAGGTGGAGATAAAATAAATATAAGAAAACCTGAAGAATCATAATGGCAGCCAAAATCCTTATAGCCCATGCAACAAATTGAGCAGTGCTTACGTCCACTGATCCATCTTCAGTTAAGACAAGCTTGTGGACCACCCAGAACCCCAACCAGGCTCCAGCTATTCCAACAAAAGTCAGCAGAAATATTGCCAACTGCAGTTGAAATTGCATAAGTTAAGCGTTCAAAGATCCTCCAACATAGTTGTACATGGGACAAACATAGCTACATAAGATAGATAAGAAAAGGCCAAAAAACAGTAACTAATAAGCAATGAATATGGTAAAAAACAGGACAGCAATGGAAATTTAATGGGTAATTGCAAGGAAAAATAAAGTTCATTATGCACAATGGGATCAACTATAAAGTTGAAGTTGTTCAATAGCTGAATATCCCAAATTTAGAGTCCATTTTAACTATATTTTTTTATTCAAGAGAACTAACTTATGTCTCAGGGAATAATACAGTACTCCTTTCATAATCATTGTATCCACTATCCAGTGTCTTGAAACTCATGACTGGATATGTGGCAGGAGGCATCTAAAATTTAAAAACAGTTTGCAAAGTAGTTACCAACAACTTTAGTTAAGGAAAAGTAAAAACCCTAAAATTTTTGAACTAGTATGCAAATTAAAAGCACTATGGTAGAATGGCTTGGTGCATTGGGTTCTGTGTGCACTTACAAACCAAACCCAAAGGAGCCATTGACATTTCTCCCTGGGCAGATGCAATGCATTCTTTGATAGATAATCAGTCAAATTTACAGACAAAATAAGTGAGCCCAACCAACACAACCATAGTTCAGAATACATATGAGAAGCAAAATAACTTTTAATCAGTAGCCTGATGTTTAATCAAATTAGCAGAAAACATAGGTGACTTACATACAGGATTATACATGTCTTCATCAACTCCTAACTCTGTAAGTACTGAACGAACTAAGCCAGGAATGTAACGGAAGAGAAAAGCCCCAAAACCAACCTGGTTTAAAATATTGGTTAACATTATTAATTATAATATGAACCACATTCGTTATAAATTATAAATTAGTAAAAGGTGAAATAGAAGTACATTGAGGTTACACTTACAACAGTTGAATATAAAAATATAGCAAGGGAACTCTTGCGACCAGTTGGAAGTAGTTTCATCCCCTGTCAATTTTAAGAGGCAACTTCCATGTTAATGTGAACAAGAAATACTCCATAGATATCCAATATAAAAATTAGTTTGCAAGAAAACAACAAATTTTTAATTAGAAAGAAAATTGAAGTTTTAACCTCAATATCCAGCAACCACATTATACTTTTGAATTTTAATAGGTATAAACCTCGTTAGCTGTTCTAGTCTTTTCTTTTATTTGATTCTCAACAAAATATTCCTACCAGATTCATTAACATTAAAATAAAATAATGCAAAAATAATGAATTAGGCAACACAATTTCAGATATAATATCTATTTTGCTATGACACTGAGACCATCCAAGATGAAAGAATGCAAAAAAAGCATTGGATGTGATAAGCTACAATCAAGGCATATGAATAGTCATCTTCAGAGGAAGAATTGAAGTTGAAAGCATGGTTGACTACTCAACAAATAAAAAAATAAATCATAAACAGCATATAAGTTTGGATATTATAAATTCCAAATCTTCAAAATTGAGGAACAGAGAGAAGTTACCTGATAAAGAATAATCAATACAACAAGAATTATCCCAATTGCCATCGCGCTGCTATAATAAAATGCTAATGATTGGCTTATAAAGGACGCCAAACTCATCAGAATAATACCCAATGTCAATAACACAAGACGATACACAAAAAATTCTGCGAAGGGGGGAAATATCATTAATGCTGGATGTCACTGTTCTTAAAATGGGATAAATAGAACTTCAACTCTTCAAGAAACTGTAACTCCTCAATGACAAACACAACATGCATTTTTGGATTAGTTTATCTTCAGAATTTTCTTTTATGCATCTTCCTTAAAGAGATTTTGAAATAAAGAAAAAGAATGCCCTCTCCCAAAATAAACTGAAACAAACCTGCACATAAGAAAAGTTACCTTCTTCAACAGAAACCTCAAATATTTCCAGAGTGGAGCCAGCAGTCCTTATGTCTAAGATTTTGTGGTCAAAAGGAGACATTGAGCGAGCCCAAGAACCTTTGGCAACTTTCTCCCACTGGCCATGTGGGCACATCCCCACTACAAGAGACACATTCCTGAACAAGACACAAAGAAATGTCTAAAATCAATTACAGTGATCATTCTTCAAATTCATGTTTGATATAGGACAATCGGTTACAAAGCAAAGTGATAGTCCTCAAATAACCAGATGTATAAAGCAGCATTCCTCCCTAGAATGAAAGATTATTCATCATGTTCACTCATTAATACGATAACTAGAATCAATCCCACCAATGAAATAAATATCAATTAATTAAATACACAATAAGATGCAAGGTGGTAGATACTAGATAGTCTCAGACCACACAGATGTACAATATATGATGCATGCACTAGTGCAAATACTCACCTATGGAAACAAACCTCTATGTTTGGCAGGCGAACATTAGAATTCGTAGGCAACACCTTCACTTTCAATGAGTGGGCGAATTTCCGCAGGTTTCTAAACCTGGACAGCCCGTGTATATGAACTCTTTCAACAACCACATTAGCACCATGCTTAGAACCAGGAGAATTTCCCACAGGTAAGCCACGGGATAGCTGCAGTGTGGTATTTTGAGTAAGAGCTGCAAAAAGAAATAAGGAGAGCAATAAGTGAAATTTCAACATACACAATTATGACACCAGATAACATTATATATAACAACAACAACAAAAATCCCAACAATATATAAACCACAATCTCATACCACCTACTACTGCCCTTGCTAGAACAAACAATTTGTACAGAATATTGATATTGAGTTTTGTTGTTGAAAGGATAAAAGAATTTTTACTCCATCCAAAAGAACTTTGAGTCAAATCAATAAAAATGCGGGAGGACTAACCTTAAGAAATGTTATGAGCAGATTATCGCTAGAGTTTATAAGTTATTGTAACATAAGAAAGGTTAACAATGGAAAAATCATTTAGAACGTGTTTCACAGCAATTGTAGGAAAAGTAAACATGGAATGGGAAATATTGGCGTGTAGCAATTGGAAAGAGGAAATTTCAATGTCTTAAACGAAATTAGGGTATCCTTCTTTCCACCATTTCGTTTCCCATCAGTTATGGAGATATTATCCTTGACTACCCTGCCATTATGCTTCGACAACCAAACAATGTCGAAAGAGAAACAAGTACAAGTGTAATCAAACCCTATAGGAAGAAAAACCACAACAAACCCTACATTTGAACCCACAAAATAAAATAACAAAAAAAAAATTGAAGAAAAAGGAAATGAATGCATACATAAGGAGCGTTCATCGGCGAACACCAGAACTGCAGAAGCACAAAGAAAGAGCAGCCGAAAAATCAAAGCAGAATGCAGAGTGTGAGTACCCGCCATCGCCATGCCAGGGTCACCAACTCAAAGTAAAGACAAATAAAAGGCGCGCGTTCAAAATCTGCAAAAATCGAGGGTAATTCTGCAATTTTATTGGGCCAAACTTACTAGCTATCTTTCTGTTCCGTTTTTTTTTTAATCCATTTTCTAATTGACGACGAGTGGAATGATGGAAAAAAAAAAAAAACTCCAGGCTCCATAAAATTATCAAAAATCAAAAGTATTTATTAGAAAAAAAATTATCAGGTGATCAATCAACCAGACTCCTCATCTTTATATAAGTCACCAATAAAATTAATAGTTATTTCGCCTATAACATGATAAAAAATACAAATCTAAACTTTATATTTTATGGGTAAAACCAAATAAAAATAAACACAATGGTGTTTTTATATTTAAATAAGGCTAGGTAATAGTTTGAGTGGATATAAAAAAAATTATATGGACAGTTAATTAGAAATTATCTGAAATATAATTTTTAAAATAATTATTACAAAAGTTAATAAAACTAATACATATTATTATTATTATTATTATGTGATTAAATAACCATATAAAACATTTTTTGATGTAGAATAATACTACTATAAAACATTTTTATAATATATTCTAACTAAATCCTATTTATAATAATTTTGTTAAGTAGTATTTGAACATATGTTTTTCCATGACCATGAATCCTCCGCTATTACTTTTTTATATTTTTAGCGACACTAGTCTAAAACTTCAATTTCTTCTCTTGGGCCAGACAGATATTCACCCAACTTCTTAGCTCACTGTCGAACCAGAATAAAAGTTTGACAGCCCATTATTCAAGCAACTCAAAATGATTTCAGGAATTAAAAGTATTTATTTCAGTAAATAATTATAATTTAATAAATTTTTTGTGTAGCTTAATTTAAAGTTATATCTAAATTAATTGATATCTTACAGGAAATAAATAGTTAACGGATTACGCGTTAATCTATGAATTGTTTTGAAAATATAAAAAGTAATTATCATTTAATTTTATATCTTTAATTTCATTAGATTAAAATTTAAAAAGTAAATGTGTCCTTAGTCCCAGATAGTTTAGTCCCTATTAGCCTTGCAGAATTAAGATTAAAAAATGATAGAATAGAGAAAACTCTTTTGTTTGAAATATAAAATGGAAAAATGGGACACTTTTCTTAATCAGGGTCATGTCCCACTTATTGAAGAAATAGGAGGGGTGGGGTAAGAATTTTACTATTCTTATATTTGTTCTTGTATTTTATACGTTCTCATATTTTTATTTGTATGAAATTTGGATTCTCATAGGATTTAGAGTTTAAATAAGAATAATAAAAAATTAATTAAGTTAAAAATAAATTAGATATATATTTTTTAAGAAATTATAAAAAAAATTAACATAAAAATAATTATTATAATTATATTCATTAAATTTTATTTAATAAAAATAAAATAAAAATTACATAAATATTAAATAAATTTTAAAAAAATAAATATCTAAAAATTTCAAACAAATCGATACAAAAGCATGCATAAATATATTAATTTAATATTATCTGTACTCACAAACAGAATATATTCTGCATCAAATTCAGAACAAACTCGAATTTTACCTATGGTTTGTCATCCCGAGTAACAAATTGCATCAGACAGTTTTTGAGAAAATCTAACAAAAAATAAACTAGACAAGGTTTATGACAAATATCCTTAAACTATAGATTGAAAGGCAAGAATGTAGCAAAAGTGAGGATAAGGTGATTGCATAATTGACCCATGATTAAATCAAAACAAAGCAAACTAACATACGTACAAAACTGAATTTGGAAAAGGTGCTTAGTGGAGCTAGCACTACGGGAAATAATGTCGGATTTGAGTGGAAGATCTTTGCTTTATCCTCGATTCTGAATTGTCTGCTCCGCTGCAGTGCAAAGTATGGTGCAAACGAGACAACATAATTTTCTGTCACGGCTTCATTGTTCACATGTCAATTCATAATGATTTTTTTTAATCATAACATCAATAAATAAAAAAATTACTAACAAAAATGTGATTAATCTTTATAAAAAAAATTATGAACACATATAAATATTTTATTTTCAATATAAATTATTTTATATTTAAAATTATCATTCAAGTTTTGATCATTTTAATTAAAAGACAGGAGTTATTATAATTTGAATCAACTAATCTCGATCAATATCTAATAAAATTTTCCGCAACATATCACCAAATCATTAAAGTTTTGCATTGTTATCATTTCAAGGATAGATAATATAATTTTACCCTGATTATTTTCCTTTTTTCAATTTTCTTAAGCGAATCTCTTTTCTTTTTAGCACTATTCAAGTGCAGCTTCAAGTTTACTCGACAAAAATAAGAGTAACATCAAGCACAATATTATTATTTTTTTTTTTGTAAAACCAAAATCCACAAACACCGGAGAAGAAGAATTAGAAAATTTTGGGACTACATTTTCCAAAGTATTTGGAAATGAAAAAAACTCTTTGCACACTAAAAGTCTAGAATATCCAAGTACCCTATGCCTCGGTTAACAGCTACACGAATTTTGGAGTGCAGATCAATTTAATACTGAACAATTAGAGGAAGAGGAGAAATGAATGAAAGATATGTCTAAATTATTTTTCACTTAACACTTTTTTTTTTTGTGTACATCCCTTTTGACCTTTTTTCTATATTGAAGTTATCAATAACAAGGAATAAACACTCCAAATGTTAAGTCAAACTCACCTCTTATATACTATTACAAATTAGACTTATCAATGTTATTAATGTGAGGTATTCATCATTTTAATGATTAATTTTTGTAAAAAAAATCTATTTTTTTTAGTGAAAAAATATTTTCTCAATTGCAATTTTTCTATCCATAAAATTCATAAGAAATACCATATTTCAGAAATCTGAACCAAATTCATTTGAATCCATATATTAAATAGCTAAAAAAAAATTAAACTCCTTTCTTAATTGCGACTCATTAACACTTACTAATAATTTAACATTAATAAAAAAATTTCTAATTATTTAACTAATGCCCTTACAACATAACATGACCTAATGGCCTAAACGCCTTAACAAATTAAACAACAAAAATATTTCAAATCCCGCGGAATAATTCAACTAAAACAAAACAATGAGAATATTTTTTTCACTATAGTCAAATACTAGTTCTTTTTGAAATGTGAAAATTATGAAGAGTTTTGTCTCTCTAAACAAATTTTCTTTGTATGTACAGTTAGAAAATCTGTCATTATATTAACATGTTTAAGAAAGTTTGTTATTAGAGTGATGTATCTTGTTGGTTTCAATTTGTTTTTTAATATGGAAAGTATTAGATGTGTTTTACATTTATAATAATTAACTTTCTAATTTAATACTTGTTCTGTAATAGGAAAAGAAATTGTAAAAAGATACCGCGTTACTCAATTTATACATGTCCTTCCAAACTCCAAAGAGAGTGCTATGCATAGAAATATAACACAACTACACAAGTAATCATCAAGGATAGGATAATGGAAAGCGTGAAGAATATGTAGGAAGGTTGGCGTTTGTTGAAGTCATGAGAATGCAATGCAAGTGTGTTCAAGTTCCAATTTCCGAAATGCTCTGTAAAGCCGGCCTCCATTGGCCACCAAAATGCCTTCCGCTGCCTTTGTTATTTTTGCTCTCGCCGCCATAGCTTCCCATTTTGTTAACCTCCTGTTCAACCTTACAAAAGAAAAAAAAAATAATTAACATAAATAGGCTTAATCTGTAACAAATGAGTACAAGTGAAAATGATATATATAGCATGATTTTTAACAGATCTTTATGTATCATGTAATTAAGTGATAATATTTTTAGACTAAAAACAAGTTGTATAGTGATTGAGTGTGATCGTAGAGACTTGATGATCTTAGACTAAATGATTTTTCAGGCGACACTTATAGCTACTCTGTTCATCCACAGTACAGTATATCTATGATCTCAATTCAGTTTCTAAGAATAATTCATTTGCTCAATTTTCTGCTTGTGCCACTTATTTCATTCATTCTCACTCTCTCTATTTCTCTCATAGTTACTAGCTAGAGCTTCAAAGATCAACACAACTTAGCACAATAATTCACAGTTCAGTGTTCACACATTATAACAAACGTTCACTACACCGATCTCCATCACTTGATGGTGGCATCTTCTTATAGATGAGTGTTGTGCACCTAACTGCTAATCCAATTTTACACTTAGAACAAAGCACTTTGAGCTAGATCTTCACTTTGTGTGATAAAAAGGTTCTTCACTATCAAATCCTAGTTACACATCTTCCGTCTCAGTTTCATCTTTCAGGATGCTGATGTTCTCATTAGTGCCCTTACTAGTTCTCAATTTTGAGTATTTTTTAGCAAAATCAGTATTGCTTCCTAATAAATTAGCACATAGATAGTGACAGTTGTAATTGTAACTCATCTGTTCATTGACTCTACTGTATATATATCTCTCGTGTCTTAACTCAATTCAGTTTGTGCAAGATCAATTCATTTGCTCAACTTTCTGCTTCTACCTCTTCGTCTTACTGCTTTCATTCATTCACTCTCTTTTTCTCATGGCCTGATACCTTTTGACTTTAAGGCTTACCTTTTTCTATTTTGCCAATTAGTTGATCAGCAAACATCGATCATAAATATCACTGCAAAAAAACATAAATACGAGCTAGAACCTCCAGCAAAACTTTTCCTCAAATGACAAACGAAAAGCATCCATGCTAGCCTTCTATAGTTCTACAGTTAGCTCAACTAATGTACCCTTCAAAATTCCATTTGGTTATCTATTCTGCTTAGAGCAATGACTAATATATAGAATTTTTTAATTTAAAATTATAGTTAAAGTACAGATATATGGATAACATTAATTAAAGTGTTGTTTAATAAGAAAAAGTTCAGTTCTGATGTGCTTAATTAATACATTGCTGATTACATGAGATCCGAAGTGAAGGAAAACTATTAAGGATAAGCACTGCACATGTACCACAAGCACAAACTCTCAATCATGACATGCACTAGCAAGTAGCAGTGTTTCTGTTCGGACAAATTGCTGTATTTCTGTTTGGACAAAAAAGGGCCCGCGCTTTATGTAATTCAGATATATGTACCAGTACTACAACAGAACAATGCATTGAATGTCTTCCGCATTTAAATCATTTAATTTAGGAAGAATTTAACCTAGCACATGCAACAAAATGAAATAGAGAAATTAATTAAGTACAGTTTTTACAGATAAGAAATGAGAAAGCGCAGCTCAATAAAATAGACGTAACGGGGAAAGATTTAAAAATGTTGAAAGAATAATTACGACATATAAATAAATTAACAAAAAAGTCAAAGAAATATTTATCTGTATAACAGCCTTGAAATTCGATCTGATTCTTCCAAAGTGCAGAAGATAACATTTTCTATAAATTTATCCACACAATGTTCCAAATGTGGGTCTCGATCTCTAGTCTCTAAACGGGTAAAGGAAAATATAAAGATGAAAAATTTGTTTACCTTATCGGTACTAGGATTGGGACGTAGAGAGTGTTTGTGCTTGGTCTGAATCTCCTTGAGCAACTTACCGAGTTTAGCACATCTCTTGGTAGCAAACTGGTTCATGACATCTGTGCCCCTCAAACACGTGATGAGTTAATTACTATAATATATAGTTAGATTAGATATTTAGATATGTGGCATGCAAGGCATATGGTAGTGGTAGTGGTAGTGGTAGTGGTACCTTGAAAAGTGATCAAGCGGTAAACGTGGCCAATGTGCAAAGTATGGTGGGGGCGAAGAAGCTTGAGTTGCTTCAAGGGCGTGGCATTGGGTGAGGAAATAACAAGAGCCACGTAATGACCAGGGTTGGACTTCATGATCTGGTCAACACTAACCGACCAGTAGATCCTCTGGATCTTATTTCCCGGGTGCTCAATCACAACCGTTGCTGCCTCCGCTGCTTGACAGTTCCCCATCTTTATCTGATGAACGCTACCTATCTCAATTCTCATGGAGGGGTTAATCCTTCATGTTGAGTGCAGTGCAATTTGAAGTTCACACTTCACAGGGGTAACTGTCTTTTATTCAAGAGTACAATGGAATTGGACAAGGACATTGAAAGGTGGAGCTGACAAGGAACCAGGGGTAACTGTCTTATTTTGTAAAATAACAAAATAAGTGAGCCAATACATTTGTTTAATTAAAAAATATTATTATCTTTTATCTGATTAATCTATTTTAGGTGACATTGTAAGTTATAACTTAATTTACAGCACGAGAATCGAAAATATCAACCTTTAATTAAGCATCATAATTGCCATATGTTGTTTGATGTTTATATGAGACAAAATTGCATATTGGTAAAAATATATATAGTAAAATAATAAAATTTACATAAATTCAAAGTAAGATATGTATTTTTTTTTCCTTTCACACTAGTATTAAGATTTTGCCTTAAATTAATCTAATTTATTTAAGAATAAGTAAAGTTGTCAAAAATTAAATTAATTAAATGTAATTAAATTTCAATAAACATTGATGATTTAAAATTAGACAAGCATGATTTACATAAAATTAATTTTTAATCATTAAATGTAATTAAGTTATAAATTTTACATTAAATTGTGTATCATAGAGTGGCATAGTGAATTAGTGATGAAGAATGGAAATAAATGTACGAAACTTAAGATTATATCTCGTTGTTATGGTTGTAATGTTTCCTTCTGATTAAAAAAAGTCGTGTATGGTGGCTAGAGAAATTAATTTATGATGTGTAATTGCGTACTACGTAGCCAAGGAAGCACTAAAATAGTAAAATGAGTGTGGGTTACGTTATCTTACCAACTTAGGTTTTGTGTTGTGTTGTAACATCATCTGTGACTATGATTGAGGTCATGACATGTCGATTGATGAGGCAATGGACCATGTCTCCAAAACTTCTTTGTTTGGTAGCTTCAGCGGATTCTATGGGCCGTTAATTTTTTCGTTAAATTCGATTTTGTGTTTGGAAATTTTCTGTAACATTAAAATTATAAAAAATTTAAAAAATCTTTAGTTTTTGGAATATATTTTTAATATATATATATATATATATATTAAAAATTAAATGATATATACATCTTCACTATCAAA